GTTGAGGCCTAGGAGGATCTGCATCTCAAAGTGCCTGGTCCTGCTCTGATGGATGGAACACAGGGCATGGGAGAAGAGGGTCTGAGGCAGGGTTGCCTTCTCTCTGTGAGGCTCACTCCTCAGCTATCCCTCAGGAGGCTGCTAGACAGCAGAGGGTCCTCCAGGCAGGCTTGGTCTCCAGGCCCAGAAGTGCTGCTTCTGTGGCTCTGTGTGGCTCCTGGGTTTCAAGGTCAGTTTCTCTACCTGGGGTCAGCCAGGAGTTTTTTTTCCTCTTTCCTTTGATAAACCCTGCCAGGACCCTGCACCTCTGTCCACTCTTCGTTTCGACGGTCAAATTGCCATTCACTTGACTCCCATCAGCCCCAGATGTATGGATGACCAAACTGAGGGAGGGACTCCAGCCTTAGCCAGGGACCCAAATGACTAGTCACGTGTGGGATCAGTCCAGTGGCCGGGTGTGGCTTGATCATTGATCCTTTCCAGTGGTACCCAGTGTCCGGTTAGGCCCTGTTAGCAAAGGAGGCTACACACAGGTGGTACAGAGCTGGACTGAGGCCAAGTGGGGGTGTGAACAGGGACATGGGGAAGGTCCAGTGAGGGCTGGCAGACCGAGGTAGCCTTGTCAGGCAGAACTACCTAAGTGCCACTGGGTAGTGATGGTGGTGAGTCAGACCCACTGGGGCAGGTAGTCCAGGACAGGAAGAAGTTAGACCCAGAGAGACAGGGGCCATCCAGGGGAGTGGGTGTGCAGGGCTGGGGAAATCAGAAACAGGTATGCCGCCTCTGGTTGGAGAGAGCCAACAGAGTGGGCAACTGGTAGGGACAAGCGGAGTGAACGTTCAGGCAGTGTGTGGCAGTCTGTGCCCCCTAGGGATTAGCCAGGGCTAGCCACTATCACCTCTAGTTTTCCTTATCTCCAGCCCCCTACCCCTTCTTCCTGGACCTTTTACAATGCAGCAAACCCTGGGGTGTTGCCCTGCCTACCACACTCTTCAATCTCCTCTAAGGCTGGTCGGGTAAGTGCAGGAGGCCCACTCATGGGAACCCCAGCCTCTGAAGGAGAAGGCTGCAGCAGGAAGCTCCTCCCAATAAGACACACCCACCTACCCCTGCCTCAGCAGCTTCCCCGGGCACCAGAGGCCTTGGCTGGGAAGTAGGGGGGGCAGGGACAGAGCAGGGGAAGACAGGGCTAGGGAGAAGGACAGGGCAGAGCCGAGGGCAATGCTGGTTCTTCCTTGTCTGCCTCTCACTCTTGGGTTTGTACCCTAGTCACCTACATCAACAGCTGGCACTGGTAAGCGCTGCCCACTGCTTAGGTACCAGGCTAGGTACCTTTTCCAGTGGGCTCGCATTATCTTCAGGACAGCCCTAGTGGGGGCATGCTGTGCAATTCCCAGTTCACAGAAGTCTCTGGGGGGGACCTAAGAAATATCCCTGGGAGATGTGACTCCCAGGGGCCGCACGGGCTGGCCCCAGGGCCAACGTCTTCACCTCTCTTCCTGGTCCAGGCACCTCTGGGCCATGCCTATGCAATGACTGCCAGTCAGGAGAGCCATGGATGCTGGAACAGGACCTAAATTCTGGCCATCAGTGGGAAAATTTATGAAGAGGACCCTTCAGGTAAAGAAGGACAGCTAAGGCTTTGGGGGACTCCTAATCCTTTAAACCTAGGACCCCCTCAGACCAGGCAGTGTACCATTTGCTCTGACATCTATAGGCATTGACCATCCATTTGTGGACAGACTCCGAGAGGAAGCAGAGAAACGTGGGCCTCAAAGGGTCAGGTGACAGGTGAAGAGTCAGCTAGGACAGTCCAGGGAGGAAGTTTCTCAGCTTCTCTCTCTCTGTGTCCTTATCCATCAACTAGGCTAGCACCAGCTCTCAGTGAAGCCTGGGGTACAAGGTTGGGGTCACTGCCCTGGAGGGACGGGCATCCTACTCTCCTGAGGGTTCCAGCAGGACCCCACTGGCAGGCTATAGGTTTTACTTGGTGCCTTTGGGAGCACAGCTTGAGCCTGAATAGTGGCTGAGCCCCTGCTGCGTTCTGTAATTGGTGACTGGCTTTGGACTTGGTAACCTGCAGGACCACACCCTAGCCATGTTTACCTCCCTTCTCAGGACTTAGGTCTTGGACTCAGGATGTGGGACAGATGTCTATGAGGCTGTGGGGACCCAAGAGAGCAGCACTGCAGAGGAGGGAAAATTTGGGCACAGGTGCTGAAGACACTAGGCGGTCAGGAAAGGTGGGTACCGCTGTTAAGGATGGAGGGGGAGCCATAGCTCACACTGCCCAGTATGACTCACATGTGTGGGAATGGCTTTGGAGCTTCTCCTATGGTCAGAAAGACTTGGGGTCCTGGACTGGGTCAATGAGAGAACCCACATGGCAAGAAGGCCTTGGCCGACAGGACTGTGTTAAAGGCCCTGTGCTGGGAGGCCTCCTTAGACTCTCTGGTCTGAATGGACTCTAGCTCTCTCCCAGGTCTCTTGAGGGATCTCTCCCCACTCCCTCCAGAAGGATAAGGGTGGCCTCACTGGGGCCCTCCTTCAACCAATGGGGTAACACCCTGCCCTCCCACCAGGAACAGAGCCACCTCTGTCCTAAAAGAGCATTGGCCCTCCCTCTCCTAAATGGTTTTCACCAGGGTTGGCTGGCCTTCCCTGCCCGACCTGGTGCTTCCAGAAGTGGGGTTCTGAGCCTGAAAAGCTACGGGCACCTTGGCATGAGTGATGCTGCAGGCTTGAGGCAAGACTGGGTCACTTCTAGACTCTAAACTGGAACCCTTGTAGTCAAAATAACACAGCTTGGGCAAGGAGTAGGTGGGGCCCCAGAAGGAGCTGAGACGCTGGGAGACCGGCAAGTACCCGGGGCTCTAAGTCTCTCTGTGTGTTGTGTCCACTGGAGGTTTGGTTTGTCCCTGACTCTGGCTCACGACTGTGAGGTTGATAATGGACTTGTAGGAATCTAAGGGCTGTGGCCTCTGTGGTCAGGGCACAGGCTATCTCTTGGAGAGTTCCCGGTTCTAACAGCTAGAGTTGGGGGGTATGGTCTCAATCCTGCACCTCCATTGTGGAGCTCATGATGAAAAGGCCCTGCCAGAGGGATTTATGGCCCTGGGCACCCACAGGGAAAGGAGGTTCTCTCGGTCGGTCGGAGAATCAGCCTGCTCTAGATGTGTACAGAGCACAGAAAGCCAAGGGAAGCCAAGATAGGAAGTGGGTGGGGGGAGATCCACGCCCTCACCATTGCTTCCTCAGGGGTCAACCCCCTGCCTCCAGCTTTCTCACTCCCTAAATAAGCCCTATCTGCAATGGCTTCAGGGCTGGAAGAAAGCTGCGGGGGGGGGGGTCATCTTGCAGTTATGTGACAATAGGACGGGTGCTCTTGACTCTAGTGCATTCTGAATACTCAGAGCCTTGGCCCTGTCTCCTCTCACTTCACATCCTCGCCTTAGTCGTCTGGTGTAGAGCTGGTCACTACTGGGGTCAGAGGCACAGTCTAAGCCGCCAGGTGGCACAGGATCTGGCCTGTCATGGAATTTCCTATCCCTCATCTTCCTGTTCTGCTGCCAGATGCTGCCCCCTGGCCTGTCCTCCCTCCCTCCCACCTTGGGACTTCTGAGGACCCAAGCCACCTCCAGACTTACAATCTCCCAGGACAGTGTGCTGACACTCCCTCTCGGAGGTCGACACGTGACTCAGTTCTACCAACCCTTCCTGTCCATCTGGCTTTCCACACATGGCCTGGCTCTGGATGCGTTGCTCTGACAAGCACGAAACAAAGCGGAGATGGTCACCTCTGTTGCTCTCCAGACTGGGCACCTACTAACATCACCTGGGAGCTGTCCTGCCTGGATGGTCACCTCTGCTGTTCTCCAGACTGGGCACCTACTAACATCACCTGGGAGCTGTCCTGCCTCACTGGGGGTTGGTTACCAGCCAGGGGCTGCAGTCCTAGAGCATCCTTTTTCTTTCCACAGGGCCTATTTGAGAGAGAAATGCTGAGAATTCATGTGCTATCCAGCTGGGGCCTCCACATGGGTATTACAAAATGAGATAACCTCTGACCTCCAGGATTCACGTGGCCATGATCCCTAATGGTGCTCAGCCATGCAGGGTAATGAGGGTGTCTCAGTTTCTTCCTCTGAGAAAAAGGGACTCTTGTACCCAATTGTACAGTTGCCAAGACTTGTATGAGCCAGCCAGTGCCACTGGGCAGGTTGTGACAATCCTGGTGGCTATACTTATGCTCAGGAGGTGCTGTCAGCTGGCACAGCCTACATGCCAGCCACCTAGAACCAGGGAGCCCACGGATGGACAGGAAGAGGAGGGAATGCAGAGGTGGAGCCCTGTGTCTTGTCTACACTCTGCTGTCAAGAGTGGTCACACTCTCTTTCCCTTCCCTTTCTTTCTTGGGCTGGTCTAGCAGCAGCCCTGCCAGCAGGCCTCCCCTGACACTCGGAGAGCAAGATCAGAGGACCATGCTACACAGAACCTCCTCCCACCAGCGGCCACCGAGTCTCTGTGGCAGGCTGACCCTGGGAGCATAATGAACATGTTGGTTTCTAAGTGAGTAGGGGAGGATTATGCACTCAGACCACTAGACATGGGTGCTGGATTCTTTGCTACAATATACAAACAAAGAAATAAATGTGTTTGATGGAGGGTAAAAAAAATTAAAAAGGAAAATAATGAGTTCCCATCTGCGTGGAGCCTCCCCACACTCACATATAACACACGGAGACCCCAGACCACACAAATGTACATTCTCATGTTCACACACACCCACATGCTGGCACATAAACAGGCTCACACCGCAGTACGCCTCCCCGCCAACGTCCATACATTCACACATCTGTACCCAGGCTCTCATAGTCCCCAAAGCTGGCATGTACACACGAGACCACACACCGGCAACCCCCCCAGGCCAGCGTTCATTCACGCTCACCCATACATCCAAAAGGGCAAGGAGAACAAAGGAAGTGGAAGAAAAGTGTTACCCATGAGGAGCCGCCGTTTCACCCGCTTGTCCACATCAGCTACTGACGTGGCATTGAACTGAGAGCGCTCAATTGCAGCCTCATCCTTCTCTAGAACACAAGTAAGGGACAAACACGGAGCCGGTGGTTAATGAGAGCCCACTTCCCGCGGCCCAAGACAGCCAGCCTCTTGGCGTGGCGCACACAAAGCCAACACAGCATGCCGGGCCAGCACGGTGCCCTCGCCAAGGGCTAATCCCAGGGACTTTCAGGCAGGTGTGCTCAGGGTAAAGCCAAGAGGAAGCAAGGGCGGGAAGGATGGCATGCAGACAGGGAAGGGGACCACAGCAAGACCTGGACACAGTGGGGATACGGGGTCCGTGTGCAGCCAAGCAGGGTAGGTGGCTGAGGGCAGCAGGAAGTTTGTGTGGAGGACACAGAAAGCAGACGGCATGCCATGAGCTCACACAGAGAGCAGCGATTATAGGTCCCCACGGCTCAAGCAGGTACAGAATAAAGCACGAGACAAAGGAGGGAGGCTTGCGAGGTCTGGTGATGGATGTACCTGGGACAGCAGATGCCCTGTTACAAGGATGCTGCCACTCATGCAAAATTAAGAACAAAACTCACAGAGAAACACACATACACACACAGAGAACACTGGATCCCATTGGACGGACAGAAAATCCAGGGGATCTGGGAAGCACTGGTTGCCTGCTTGTCTAGAGGACCAGAGCTAAGCATTCAAGGACTCAACAAAGGGCTGCAGAGAGAAGGGTCAGTCATTTTAGGAGCGTGCGGGAGGGAAATGGCTCGGGCCAGCTAGGGAGCCTCCAGCCACTGGGCACAAAGCTGTGCCCGGATGCTTTGCTGGGACTGGTGACAGAAAGCAAAGCGGACAGGAGGCTTCTCATCCTGGCCAGGAGCTGAAGCCACAGTGGCTGGAGCTGGGTAGGGTGATAATTTCTAACGAGAGGAAAGTGTGGGCTTGGGGAAAGAGATCCAAGCAGGGATTGTCACATGCAGCAGACACTAAAAAGTAAAAATATGAGAAAGGATGAGTGAGGAGGACACAGACAAGAAGGGTTAGACCCAGGCTAGGGTTCATGTGCCCAGAGGTTGTCTGTGCTGGTCCAGTGGCTGTAGGACAGGCTCCACTGGACATGGGAGACTTAAACAGACAAGACAGAGGGGAGGCCAAAGTGGCTCGAGGGAGCTCTGGGCAGGACAGTGAAGGGAGAGAGGTCAGAGGACAGAAAGTTCTAGATGGGATCAGGCTGCAATAGAGACACTGGCTTTTAATTTTTTTTTTTTTGTGATTGGTTGGTTTGGTTTTGGCTTTTGGCTCTGAAAAATGATTAATGAATGTCAGTTATCAGACAAGACAGGCAATCAGGGACCATCACAAGAGAAGCAGCAGGAATGAGGTAAAATGAAATAAAAAAATGGCTGTCTGAGAGAAGAGACCACACAGAGGAGGGGAGAGCCACCACAGGCAGCAGGACAGCCCCGACTACAGAGGGGATGGCCTGGGGTCCCTGAGCGGCCTAGCACCCAGCTTTCCAAGACACCGAGGAGCAGCGACAGGGGATGGGAAAAGACAGCAGCTTTGGGACACATGTGCGTACATGGGTTCACCAAACACCTTTCTGTCACTCAAAGCCCCTCATGCGTCACCCCTCAAGCTGATCATAGGAAATGGGGCCTTTTCACAGAAATAGCAAGTGTGATCCCACCAACTCATGTTGGGTCCTAGCAAGTAGACCCTTGGCCCCAAATTCTGAAATTCCTTTTTCTTAGTTAAAAAAAAAAGATCTTGCTGTTGTTTTTGAACAGGAGAAAAAAACGTATTAGTAATTATCGCATAGAGTAACTACAAGTGTCCAAGCTGTCCTCAGGAACATGGGCCCAGAAGAAGGAGGTGGCTGAGTTTTAATCAGGACTCCATGGAGCAAGCAGGTGATGGGATAGGACCATTGCTGAGGGGGCAGGGACTTCGGGTGGGTGAGGAAGTCCTGAGGAGAACCCACCAGCTCAGGATGAGAAGCGGTCCCAAGCACGCACTCCCCACGCAGGGTGCACGCCTCCACCCTCATGTGCTAGGAAACTCAGTGTCCACATGGCTGTGGACAGTGCCCAGACCTACGAGTGCTCACACAGACTCAGTGAGGCTTCCAAGAGTTCTTCACACTAGGAAATACAGGTGCTTTGGGGACAGGCGATGTCCCCAAGCTGAAGCACGCTGCTGCAGACAATCAATCCCCTGTGTTGAGGATGAGGGCAAGCAGAAACCCCGCTAGGGAGACCCAACCCTAGGGAACTTTGTCCCATGGTACTGAGGGACCCAGGACAAACCCTCACAGAAGCTGCCCTTGGGATGCCTGCCATCCCCATTGGCCTTGTGGGTAATTCCTCTTCTTGTCTCCCTTCTGTTTCCTCCAAGACAGGGGGACCACACAGGGTACCTGCAGGGGCAGTATGGCAGATGCAGTGCCTACTTACCAATGCACGTCCGACCATCCGAGTGTAGGGCGTACTTCTGGTGGCAGCCACACATGGGGCCTGTGTCTGTGTCCTCACAGCTGTGCTGACAGCCTCCATTTCCATAGTTACAGGTTACTAGTTAGTCCCAAAGTGTACACACGTGTGTATAAATAGAACAACAACAGAAACGGTTAGTTTACAGGAATTGGTTGTTTCCTTGGGGGTAGGGTGGGGGAAAGCAAGAACGTGAGGTGGCCAGGGAAGCGTCCTTGGAGGACTGAGGGCAGCAGATACACACCTCTATCCTTGAGGGTACCCCTCCAGCGTGCCAGATAGAAATGGCAGTCTTTAGAAGTGGGCCCAAGAGTGGGCTCTGAGCCTCACATAGCTAATACATGAAGAGAGTGAAGGGTGGGGGGAGAGGCCAGACACACATGGGAGACACTTTAACCCCATCAGTCCCACTGGGACACATGCCTGTTTACACCAAGACATACAGGGCCCACTGTGGGCGAAATGGCAGCCCTTCCTTCCTTCCTTCCTTCCTTCCTTCCTTCCTTCCTTCCTTCCTTCCTTCCTTTTTTTTTGTGGCCCTGGCTATCCTGGAACTCACTCTATAGACCAGGCTGGCCTTGAACTCACAGAGATCCACCTGCTTTTGCCTCCCGAATGCTGGTATTAAAGGCGTGAGCCACCACCGCCCAGCGACATTCATTTTCTTCATTCTTGTACAGCTCTAGCCGTTGCTTGTGTCTTGGCACGTGTGGAGGGATGTTCCCATGGATACTACTTTCTGTGGGTCCTAGTTGCAAGCCATCTCAGCACTGACCGTGGAGCTCAGCAATACCCAGACAGACAGAACTTAAGCAAGTTAATGTCATCTGGGATGTATGCTGAGAACAACCTACATTGTGTGGTTGGTGGTGCCAATGACTGGAGGATCTAGGGCCCTTCAACCCAGACACTCTATAGAAACAGCAGCAACCTGCATCCATGGGAGAGGGACTGAGCAAGAAGGAGCCAGTCTGAAGTAGGAAAATGTTGTTCAAGTTTATTTACATGAAGATGGTCCACTGCCACTGTATAGGTGGAGGGAGACGGCCGGAAGGGGATGAGAATCTGAGTCAGCTCTCTTGTAGAGGCCCTTGGAGACTCTGCTTTATCATGCAATGAGCTGGTGGACAAGATAGCTGCCACCCGAATGCCTAGACAGTATGTCCTCGTGGAGACCTTGACTGGTTGTCCACACTCTATCTACACACATTATTTACTTATGAAACGTCAGTCTGAGGCCAGGCATGGTTAGAGGAGCACCAAATTTGAGATCTGAGAGTTTGGGTTAATTGTGCCCTACTAAGCAGATCCATTCAGACAGCTGGCAAGGGAGGGAAATCACTGGAGGTGAGGATAGGACGAGAATTACTGATGGGCGGGATCTATCTGGCATCTCACATACTGTCTTTAGCAGCCAGGGCTTCTCAGAAGCGTTTTCTCTCTACACAACTTCAGGGAAGTTAGATAGCCCATAGGCTCTCCTCCATGAAGTCTGTCCTTCGCATGTTCAGGGATGTGGTGATAGGCAGCAAGCTGGTGTTCCCCAGGCTCAGGAGCAGGGCCTGCATAGGTCCTAGGTCCTAGGGGATTCTTCTTCCTTCCTTCCTTCCTTCCTTCCTTCCTTCCTTCCTTCCTTCCTTCCTTCCTTTCTTTCTTTCTTTCTTTCTTCTTCCTCTTCCTCTTCCTCTTCTTCTCCTCCTCCTCCTCCTCCTCCTCTTCTTCTTCTTCTTCTTTTCTTCGAACAGAGAATCCTCACATGTCTGCATGGAGCAAGTCTTCCGAGATCATGCTTGCCTATAGCCTGTGCCTGCTCCTGTCCTTGCTTGGCACGAGGGCTGGGAGGGTTGGAGTTAGCCCCATCTGCTTTGAAAGTGGCCAGGTAGCAAGAGTTTTCTCTGAAGTTAAAAGAATCCATCAGTGGGGCCAGGCTAGGGCGTCAGCTATCTCTGTCCTGTCTTGGTGACAGCCAACACGCATATCTTTGCCCTTCCATGGAAAAGACCAGGCAGTAATGAGAAAGACTAGCCCATATTCTGACCATAGCCAGATGCTGTAGAATGTTATCCTTGAACACAACAGCAATTGTCATCTTCATCAGAGCAGATACATGCAATTCTGCCCCAGCTGTGGCCCGAGGTGGTGATAGAATACACAGAACGTGGAAAGTTAACTGATGGAGGGGGAGACCCTGTCTGCAGCTGTGGGGAAGGCATCATCCATGCTGGCATGAGACTTTCTGGTGGCGTGGTTGCCTTGAGGTCACTCATACTTTGCAAATAAGCCCAGTAAACTCATTGGTTTCCCCAAGGTGGACTTGGGTGAACTCATACTCTGGTCTGTCACTATCTAGGGTGGGTAGGCACTTGTTCACATCTCCCTAGGAAAAGTTAACAAAACACTAGGATGAGGAACGTGCCTCCACTCTGGGAGTTGAGTAGATAGCATGGGGGGTTGGAGCACGAGCCCCTGGGGACAGGGACAACAACATGTGCTCATGGGTCCCCAGGGCCTTGGCAACTGTTCAGGGAAGAGGAGCTGAGAGAGTCACAGTGGCTGGGGATGGTGGGCTACTGTCTTCTCTCCAGAATGGAGGAACAGCGGGACACTGAGGCCTTTTATAGTGGAGTCAGTCAACAACCACAGGAGCTCAGGCAGGCTCCTCTGGCATGTGCTTCTACATCACAGTGTGAGGCCAATGAAGCCATGGTTCAGCCGAGTTGGAAGTATTTGCTGAAGTTCCCTCAGTTCTCAGCAAACCCACAACAAACAAAACTCAGCTTGGTGTCCCCATGACCAGTGGGCAGAGCCTGCATCCCCTTGCCTTCGCACAAAGCGGTTGGCAGGGTGTGTTGAGTTTGATGCTCTGAGAGTCTTTGAATATCTTAAGTTTTGTTTCCTTTCCCAATTCTACTCCCACTCATTAGCTGGATGTCCATGATAAGAGGTTGGACTGGGAATGGGTGATATAGACCACGCCTTTAATCCTAGCACTTTGGGAGGCAGAGACATGTTGATCTCTGTGATTTCCAGGTCTGCCTGGTCTACATAGAAAGTTACAGGACATAATGAAACCCTGTCCCCAGGTCCCAAATAAAAAGGGGCCACACTATGTTGAGTCCTGGGGCAGATCTCTTCCAGGCAAGCAAACCAGCCTTGAAATGGTACCTCTGGCCTGCTGCCTTCTACAGACTAGATGTGGGGCTCATGGTTTGTACTCAGCCCTATAGAGGTTATTGACTTCTGCTTTTTAAGTTTTTTTTTTTTTTTTTTTTTGAGATAGGCTCTCCCTGTAGCATAGGCTGGCCTCAAACTGTCTACATAGTTGAGGTTGATTTTGAGCTCCTCCTCCTGTCTCAACCTCCCAAGTGCTAGTACAGGTGTGGACCCCCACACCTGGTTTATGGAGTGCTGGGGATTGAACCCAGGGCTTTGTGCCAGGCAAGTGCTCTTTTACCTGAGCTGTATCCTCACCTGGGTTCTGACCTGTGGACCTGGAAAAATGTCAGCACTGGGTTCGCTCCCTCCCATCCACCTCACCTCCCATCCACTCCCCTTGCTTCTTTGTACTCTTCTATCATCCAGGGCTTCTCAGGCTGAAAGTGCAGCTTTTAGACCTCCATCTCCACTGGAGAGTTTCTGTTCAGGGCTCTACAGATGGCTCAAGCCAGTGCCTGGGGCTGTGCTGATGCTGTCATACCAGGTATAGAAAACCCCATGCTGGGAGGTCATGACCCATCCCTCCAACTTCCCCAATGCTCTCAGCAGACCCTGCCCTCCCCCAACCCCAGGGTGGTGAGATCCCTCCCTGACCAACGTCCAGCGCCCTGGGCCACGAAGCAACGGTAGGAGGCGCATGGGGGGGGGGTCTGACCCATTTGCCTCCGTCTACCTACGTGTGCAGTCCTTCTGGTTTTGGGCAAGGTCAAAGCCGGGCCTGCAGTCACAGGCTACCCCACCTTTGGGCGTCTCCCGGCAGATGTGGGCACAGCCATGGTCTTTGTTCATGCAGTTCATCCCCTCTGGGAAGAGAGACAGACAAGACAGAGGTTGGAGCCCAGCGAGAGCGGAAGAGAGAAGAAAACCTCAGGCTGTAGAGAGATGACTAGTAGTGTCCCGATCCAGTGGTGGGTGTATCAGTCAGCTTCTGCAGGCATCACTCCCAGGTACACCCGCATGTGTGTGCACGCACATACTCAGTCACAGGTGCATGTGTGTGCACGCACATACTCAGTCACAGGTGCATTCTACCACAGTGCTTGGTCCCTGAAGGAACAGGCTAAATGACACAGGCATGGCTCCTGCCGGGCATCACCTTGGAGGGTGAGCCGTGTAGCACTGCCTCCAGTCAGGGCTATTTGGATTCTCACATTAGCTCCAGGATACTATTAGATCCGCTTAGTAAACCATTTCCTCCCCGTTTGCCTGGAGTGGCTGGAACCCCCTTCTGGTGACCCCAGTTGATGTTTATCTTCTTGGTGATTTGTGAGGAGTTTCCAGAATTTATGAGGTCAGGGGTCAAGTGAGAGGTTGTAGGTCACAAGTCCATCAAGAGGCCACAGGCAGATCAAAGGGAAGAGAGCCACTGTGTGCCGCACACCAGCTCTGGAACCTGATGCCACCTCCTTCTGAAAGAGCATGACAAGTGAAGCTGTCTTGGAGAGGGGAAGAAACCCCTGAGGTGGTAATCACATGAGATGCTCTGTCTTCCTCAGGGGCCACACTGGCAGAGAGTGTAATTGTGACCCTGTACATGTTTAAAAGGGTAAGTCTACGGCAGCCATAATACAGACCAAAAATGTCTTGGGCGGGCAGGAGAGAAAGAAAGGGCTATCTAGGGCTGGAGAGATGGCTCAGAGGTTAAGAGCATTGACTGCTGTTCCAGGGGTCCTGAGTTCAATTCCCACCAACCACGTGGTGGCTCACAACCATCTAATATTCAATCTGGTGCCCTCTTCTGGCATGTAGGCAGAAAAGTGTATATGTAATAAATAAATAAATCTTAAAAAAAACAGAAAGGGCTGTCTAAAGTTAGTTCACAGTCAGAAGTGAGCGAAGGCTGCGTTTGCCCAGCACCTGACCTCGCTCTTCATGTCCCCCACCCTTTGGTTAGTTCACTAATTCACGCCACTGTAGAGCTCACCCGCTGACCCGCCACACACAGACAAGGTACCCGGCGCACCCGAGCAAGCGCCACCACCCTCTCCTCTCAGTTTCCAGCAGCACCCGAGCCTGACAGCAGCAGCAGACGTGCGAAGACCACCGTCCAGTGCCCACCCGGAGGGAGCTGACCTGCGGCCACCGCCTACTTCTGTACCAACACCTCAGCTGGTTACCAGCAACCAGGGTTGCTCCTGAGCCAATATGAGCCCACCCTGTACCAGGCACCCAGCTTCATTCACAGAGAACCTGTGAAGCCAGGCGGAGGTGGGCATGAGTCTGGCTTCCCCATAAGCAGTGTGCCTTGGAGACCATTGTTCCATTTCTCCGGGCCTCACCTGTAAACATGCATGAGACCCTCAGCCTTGAGGATTAGGTGTAAACATCCCCTGAAGCCAGAGCCAGGAAGATGCCAGGTGCTTGGCATGCTTTCAACAGGCCTCGGTGGACCCCGGCTTCTGATGGCAGGGCCTGTTCCTGCAGATCTGAGGGAGGCAACTCCCCAGTGGGTCCTGGCTGGTAGAGCACTCTTCAGAGCTTCCGTGGCCATCCAAACCCACTTAGTTTCCTGGGACCCGCTGCCTGTCAAGAGTCTAACTACCAAGTAGCCTCGGGGGCTCAGGATGGGAACTGTCAGTGGGCAGCTCAAAGCCTAGGTCACACTTCACTCCCTGATTAATGCGGCCATGTCTGTGGCTCTCTAGTGTTTCAGCTGTGACTCGGCCTTTGACCCCCGTCCCCATGTACATCCTCTCAAGGTTCACTATCCCACAGTGTGGATCCCTTGGCTTCTTACTGGTTCCTTCCTCTTGTCTTCCATAAATGACTTCTTAAGCCTACCTCTGATTTCATCAATTCTCCTGGCTCCCAGGCTATCCTCCAGGCCACAACGATTTCCCAGAGCTGTCCCACACTGCTCCCAATCAATGCCCTAATACACTTGCTTTATCTTCCTAGGCAAAGAAGAGCCCATGTGTCCTGTTTAGCTCAGCTTGTGTGAGGCAGAGAAAGGATGATTGAGTTTCCATTTCCAGTCAAAGAATTGCAACTTTTGAGAAGCCTTGCACACCATCAGACAGCCAGGAATTCATCTCCACAGAGCTGATGCATACCTGAATCCTGGACCACAGACTCCCAAGCTTTATAAACTGCTACACCTTCTCCTCTGAGGATCTGTTAGTACCAAGTCTTTCCTTTTGAGTGTTCAGACTTCGGTCATGAGTTAAGAGGTCATACCCTGGAGAGGAGAGGCTGTGGGGGAGTGGTCCAGCACCATGGTGACTGCAGCAGCCAATGGTCAGCAGTGTGGCTGCAGAAAGGGAATAGGGAGCCACAGAGCTGATCTCAAGAGTGCAGCCAGAAGAGTCCTAAAATTTCTCTTAGCCTGCTCCACAACTGTGGTGGTGCTGTTGCTACTGCTGCTGCTGCTCTGCTGCTGGTGTGTGTGTGTGTGTGTGCGTGTGTAAGGCCTCTATCCCCCCTGTAATTGTGAGGTGGAGTCAAGGCTCCTGAGCGTAGCCTCCCATCTCAGGCTCCCATACTAAGCCCTCTACAGGGACACTGTAGCCTTGATACTTCTCTGTCAGGATCCAGAGAAGTCTGCTTTCCACAAAGGATGGGGTCAGGCTGAGGACATTAGTGCAGCTGAACTTGGGTCCTTTCTATGTTCCTAACAGTTATAAGCTTTGCTGTATTTAAAAGTAACAGCTTAAAACGTACCATAGGCAATGATTTTTACCAAAAACTATGCTTTCTAAAACAAGGAGAATGTGTGCTCGAGAGGCATGCCCTTGCAGTAAGCATGCAAGGTGCTAGGCACCAGCCACTGCTGTCTCGTGAGTGTGGCTAGCACTCGGGGTTGAAAGCTTCTCCCCAGCCTCTGTGGCCTCTGCCAGGCTGCTCTGGCAGCTTTTGGCTGCAGATGGTTTCCTTCACCAACCTGTGCACGTCTCAAACACGGACCTCAGTCACTCATTCTGAGCCCAAGGCCCAGGGCCCAGCTGGGGTGGCTCAGCACAGCTTCTGTGACTCAGAACTTTAGGCCTTACTTATCTGCCCTCCTGCAGATCTCTGCCTGGACCACGCCTGCTCTGGAGAGGGTTTCAAACCACAAGCTTTCCAGCACACCCCCCTAGGTGTAGGTATGGGAGTCACATGTGCCAACTTCAGAGAAAGCTCATTTGTGTCCCTCCACCGAGGAACTGAAAGAATCTCAGCTGTTCCCGGAAGTCCTGGTTTTCACATGCCTGGTACCCGCCAGCTCAGGCTGCCCGCCAGGTCGAAGCTAATCTGATCTGATCCATCCAAATCCAATTATGCCCTGCAAGCGTGGGCTGAGTGTCTCCTCGGTGCTAGGCCAGGCCGGACGCAATGGTGAGACAAGGCCCTTAGCTGCCACGTGGATCGCCAGGTCTGCAGTAGGACCGCCGCACATGCGACTGTGGCAGCATACCTCACTTCTGAGCCCCAGCCTCACCTGATGGGCAGAATTAGACGGCCCTGGGTTCTGCTTCCAAGATGGGGCAAGTGACAACAAAGCTGTCTTTGGACCTCAACCCATGGAAGGCTGTCAACAGAGGGGTGATGTGCACGCACTAGGGGACCTCTGTCTGCTTTAGAGGGACAGGGTTTCCAGCAGGAACAAGGGAAAATCTGTCAGAGTACAATGAGAGGAAGAGGGAATCAGTTGGAAGGGCAGAGGCTTTTTTTTGGATGCCTTTTATAGCCTCCTCCTCCTCCTCCTAGAATTTTCTGGAAGATGGGATATGCAGACTGAAGCCTTCACCATATTCCATTTGTTCTTGACGAGTCTGAGCAGGGGTTGTGCCTGCTTTACAGACCACTCATGGAAGTAGGTCAGTGTGTTGGAAGTTGTATCTGGCCATACCTGGCTAAGTGCCCCTTTCCATGGCCTTCCCTGGATCCTTTGACAGGCTCCCTGGTGCATTCCTACCAGGGCTTCTCCCCACAAGCCAGCTCTCGGCCTAGGAGATGGTCCCATGTGTGTGGAGACATGATGGCCGCATGCGTGTGCATGCCACATTCCCTCAACACAGGTCTGGCACCCTTGCTCCAGTAAGAGTTGGAATGTGTGTCTCCCAAGGGTCAGTGCTATGACAGCTTCATCAATAATATTACTTCCTGAGTTCTTGTCCCTCAAACACAGAAGAGAACAATGGCCTTGCTCTACCTCTCAACCCACTCCAACTAGGAAAGCTGGGACCTTAGGCGGCTCCCATAGCCTACCAGGGAAAAACAACCCCAGAGAAGCCACAGGAAGGGAGGCACAAGACTGAGCTGGGGAAGAGGCTAATGAGGACCCCTGGGGTGCCTGCCTGGGCTCAAACCAACCTTAGAGGGGTGGGAGCCTGGGTACCAACCACATGCCCTTGCGAGACAGGAGCACTGAGGCACACACAGGCTGATAACTGGGCTAGGGTGAAGGATCATGGGACAACACAGGAGCCAAAAGAGATGGCAGCCGCTCTGCGCTGTCCAGCTCGCTCTGGGTGAGGACAAGAAGAGCCGCTTACTCCACACGGGCATTTTGCACACTAGCTCCCTTGAAGCCCAGGAGGCTGAGTGTTAGGAAAACCACAGCTCCAGCAGTGGGCCTGCCGTGGCTCGTGAGAGGTAGGGGCACTTTCCGCAGGCCTCCACTGGCCACTCTGGTGCTCGCCCGCCAGCGTGGTCCCTAATTGGCAGCTTTGGTCCCTTAAGAGAACACCCCCCCCATCTTCCTCCCTCCCTCCCCTCTGTTTCATTTAGAACACACAGGAGAAAGACATTCTTCCTCCCCTGCCCCCAGGCCTCTCAGGGTCTTGGGTCCCAGCTGGGTATGTGACCAAGCACAGAGGCCTAC